GCCACCTTCCAGCAGTCCGCCGGGCCGCCGCTCCCCTGCGGCAGCGGGGCCAGCGCGCGGCGCCCTTCAGCCCGGCCCACGCCGGCCCCTCCTCCGGGAGTGCGGGCTCCAGTTCCAGCGATGTCCGTGGCCCCGGCTCCAAGCCCACCCGAGACAAAGCCCGAGCCCCGCCGCTCACGCTCCTTTTTCCCGCTGTCGGTCCCTACCTGACCGCCACCTTGACGCAGCAGTCCCCCTGACCAGCCATGGTCTTCTGACGCTAGGGTCTGGGCGTGGATCAAGGGCGGGGGTCCGGGGGCCAATGCCCAAGGCAGCGTCTGCGGCTGCCGGAGGCGGGAGCGCGGGCACTGCTGGCGAAGGCTGTCGCCGAGGCTGGAGGTGTCATGCTCGCGGGCGACAGGCAGAGGGGCTTACCCACTGCCGGCCCCCCGGGGTCGATCCAGCACACCTCTTGGAGCCATCGGGCGGCGGCGCGTAGCTAGCTGACAGCCGGCAGCGCGACCCACTGCTCCCCACCGCGCGACACACGCGCTCACACACCTCCCACCCTGGCCACCACCTCCCGCCGCAGCGCGAACAAAGGGGGCGGGGGCCGACCCGGCCCAGGACCCGCCCCCGAGCCGGGCAGAGCCGCGCCAGGACCCGCCCCACCCCGCAGCCACCAATCGAAGGCCCGAAAGATCAGCAGGGGCGGATCTTGAGCCTTTAAAGGGATCTCTTGGCTCGGGTCCACCGGGTTGCTGGGGGCGGGAAGAATTGGGGGTAGTTGGGACGGCCGGGAGAAGCCAACCACGCAGAAGCCTGGATCCTCAGAGTCGCAGAACCTCAGCTTCACTGGGACCTTCCTTTCAAAAATGAGGAAACATGCAAAGAGGGGAACTACCCAAGGTCACACAGCGAGTTAGTGGCTAAGCATGGGTAAGAAACCTGGCCTTCGGGGCAGAGCGCTGCTTCAAAGCATCCCACAGCGATTAGCGGTTTACAGTTTGAAAAGGCCAGCAAAGCTTCCCTTCTGCATTTATTCCAGTAAGTTCGCCAACCTTTAGTGAAGGGGATTCTTGCTGATGTCTAAGTAAAATTCCCCCCACCTCCACCCTGCAGCATTTAAGTCCATCTTTCGATAGCTTTCTGGCCAGACTGCTAGCTCAGACTGGGCTCTCCATACGTCTAGACCACAGTCCCATTGACCTTTATGACCCACGGATGACCCATCAGGCCCGGTTCACACTCTGTTGTGGCAGTGGGGGCAGAGGGGTCAGTGTGGGAGGCTTGAGATGCCCCAGGAAGAGGAGGGAACAAAGGGGGCACTCAACTCCAAGGGCACCTGGATGGAGAGGCTGGGTTGGGAAGTGGGTGGGAAGGGAAGGCCAAAGAGTGCAGCTGCCTGCAGGAATGGATATAAAGGACAAGGGGGTGCCATGGAGACTTTAACACAGGGCAGTTATGGAGGAGGAGACCAGTGCTGTGGAGACACAATTCCCTGTCCAGTCCACCTCTCCTCCCGCTGAGACTGGACTCCTCCTTCCTGCCCTCCAACTCCCAACATTGGGGCCATTCACAGGGCCCCTCACCAGCTGCCCTCCCTTCCCTCACTTCACCCAGCTCCCTCCCCTGGATAGGGCCCAAGAGGGCGACCCAGCTGCAACTCCAGATGTGAGTTGAGATCTCTGGGGGAGGGGAGAAAGGGGAGTCTGACTCCAAGCCTCTTGCATCACCCTCAGATGATGAAACATGTCAGAGATTTTGGCAAGGATTTGGGTTAGGGTCGGAGAATTTATCTGTTAGTGCCATCTTCCTGTCCTGTCTCCTCTACCGTCCCTCTAACACCCCAGATAACTACTCTATCTAGGAGCCCAGATCCCTGTGTAGTTTGACCTATTAAGTTCAAACCAAAAAAACAGAAAATTTCAACAGCAGATTTCAAGGTCAAATCAACACCCTCTCATCCTCAGGGCAAATAGAAGGCTGCTTTCAGCAGGAGTACCCCCAAGGTTGTGGTAGGGGGTTCCTGGTGAGATCTTGCACCCTTCACTAACATTTGAACACTCCCAGAGCCAGTAACCAGCAGAGTTGAGGACTCAGATCCTGGACATTCTCTCCCCATCTTCCAACCAAAATTAGCGATAGGGAGCAACGTAACACAAACAAGGTACTTCATGGGCATGTTATTTAATCGTTATACCCCTGAGCTAGACTTCAATATTCTTTTTCAACTTTGCAGATGGGGAAACTGAGTCTCACCCAGCATATAAGCAACAGACTCAGAATTTGAATTTGTGCATATGATTCTGGACTCCCCAGATCACCTCTAAGCAAGTGCCAGGAGGATGGGAGCTGGGCTAGCCTAGGGTTTTCTTGCAGGTCCAATAGCCTCCAGGCCTAGCCCTCCCAGATGGCAATGCTGCATTTTGCAAAACTGCTCTCCCACCCACCCATCTCTAGGCTTCTTTGGGGCCCAACTCTGGTTTCCTGCCTGCAGGAGGTCGGCTGTAACTTCCGACAGTAGGTGACCCTTCTGACTCACAGTTCAACTGCTGGGAAATGCTACCAGAGCCACTGCCCACCCCCTCTGCAATCCTCCAGGCCACAATCCAGAGTGTCCAGCTAGGACAAGCAAAGAGACACATTGGCTGCAAACTCAGACCTCCTAGAATCAGGGCCTCAGGATTTTGGTTACTTTGATCACCTCAAGCAACTCCCTCCTGGGCCACCAGGGAGCAGCAGGACAGCCCAGGGTCCAGACTGACTCCTGAGCTCCGCTCCCATAGGTGAGAAGCTAACACGGGGATTCAAGGCAGAAAAGAGGCTTAAACTGCAGCTTGGGAGATTTAGGTTAGACAGGTCAGAAGAAGCCTAGGACAATCCCTGCCCTTTTCTGTCTCTGTCCAGCTTCAGCACAGCCCCTGCTTCCTCTCTGGTTTATTCCCACTCCTTCTGTCTCCTTTCAGCTGCTCTTCTTTCCTTCCCTCCTCTCCAAACCCTGAAGTTTCTTAGAATCAGCTACGTAAGACACATAGCATCCCCAGTACTTTCCTCTCTGCCTGACAGAAACACACACACACACACACACACACACACATGCACACATACACACTGGCCCTGAGTAGAAAATTGGACTGGAGTTTGAGTCCCAGGTTTTATCCTGAACTGAGGCCCTTCCCCCAGGCATCTTGGGGCCTCCATCATTTCTCCTGACATGAGCTGTGGGCGTCTGGGCAGATGGGAACCTGGGGGAGGTGTGGGGAGCCCTCTCCAAGTCAGGAAGCTCCCACGCTACTGTAGTTAAAATACTCCAGCAGCGACTTGGGGCAGCCATCTGGCCGAGATTTCGCTCAGGCACGTCTCAGCTCTCAACAGCAACCCCAAAGGAACAAATCAAAACACCTAAGAGATACATGTAGGCCCTAGAAATGTCTCCAAGGATGGCCTGACCTTGAGCCATCTTCCCTTTTATTATTTTCTTCAGTGTTAGAACTGGGCATTGGCATTTGCAAAATCTGAGCATTGACCTCAAATTCTGGGAGCAGAAGATAGAGTTCTGGACCTCCCCCCACCAAGCTGTGCTAGATTCTAGGAGAATGGGCCTTAACCTATCCTCCGGCAGATGTCCAGCCACAACTTCCAGTGTTCTCCGAGAGAAAGAACCCAGTTTTGCCTGCTAGCAGGAGTTCAGAACCCCAGGGAGTGTCCACAGGGCTGTAGTCTAAGAAGGTCTGAGCTCAGGCATGGGTTCAGCCTCACTTCCTCTGTTATAGGGGGAGACAGACTTAGCCACAAAGGAAGCCAGAGGTTGTTATAAATAGCAAGGAAGGAGAGAACTGTTGTGGATTACAAACACCCCACTGGTCTTAAAAAAAAAACAACTTATTTTGTTTCAAATGATAATTAGTATTTAATGAATGCTCCATATAACCTCAAACATGAAATCTTCACCACCATCCCTTCTACTTTACAATGCTTTCTGACACAGTATTGGGGCCAAAGGTAATTGTCCACGTCACCAAATCCTTAGCTTGGAAAGAACCCCTTGGGTCACTTAATGCATTCCTTTATTTTCAGATGAAGAAACAGGCCCACAGATGAAAGGGACTACCCAAAGTTGCATTGTAGAGTGAGATTTAGGTTAGACAGGTCAGAGGCTGAGCAGTAAAACTGAAAGTTTAGTCCCTATACTTCCAAAGCAGGGCCGTTTCCATGATAGCACAATAGGAACCCAACAGCCAAACATCTGAAATTGGGCTGTCAGTGAGTTTATAGTCCTGACAGAAGTTCAGTCTGAATGAAATAACAGAAGACAGCCCCTAGGCTGAACTGTGGTCTTTAAGACATAGAGATCTAGGCTCCAATCCTAGCTCTGCCACTCATTAGCTATATAACCCTGTTCTAGTGATGTAACTGCAACAAGCATCAGCTCCTGCATCTCAAAATGTTAGAACAGTCACCTCATTGGGCTATTACAAGGTAACATGGGTCAAGCCTCCAGGCTGGCAGTCAGCACAAAATAGATACTAATTTCCTTTGCATTTCCCTTGGATTCTGTATTCCTTCCCCAATGGATTTGTCATAACAAAGTTCCGGGAGAGAGAGGGAGTCTCAGAGGTGAGTGTAGGTGAGGCTGGGGGAGGAGGAGGTGATGGCAATGAGATTTGCTTGGTTTAGGTCATGGGTGTGAGGTCCCGGAACGGCAGAGGCAGAGATCTGCAGGAAATTATCCATTCTCTATCAACCACTCAGTGGTGGAGCCTAGGAAGCCAAGGGAAGTTTGCAGTCAGAAGGGAGCCTTGGCATGCGGGATCTGTGCTGTACACAGAGGGGCTGCTGATAAGGAGATCTTGCATCCATCCTATGGCCACACTGGACCATAAGTGTTGTTTAAGTTTTCTCATTAAACCTTCATAACAGTGAGGTCAACACTGTTATCATCCTCATTTTGCAGAGGAGGAAATGAGCTCAAAGGTCATTTGGCTGGTGTAGTAGTCATTAGTGCTGTTTACATATTTCCTGCTCTCTGTCTTCCTGCGCTAGGTAGGACTGCAAGTCCTCAGTCTTCTTTGATGGTAACTGGTCATGTGACTTTAACCAATGAAATGTGGGGCTTTGCCAACTTTAATCAAGGAAATGTGATACTGGTATGTGTCACCTCTAGGTAAATAAATAAATAATAAAATGTAAAAATTAAAAATCTCAGTGGCACATGTGAAATGATAACAGCTACTATTGCACCATTTCTGTGCTGGGCCTTGTGGTAAATGCTTCTGATGTATACTATAAGGTAATGTGCATGGTAACCCTAGGAGGTAGGAACAATTATCTCCATAAAACAAACCAGGAGCTGGGTGTGGTGCCACACACCTGTAATCACTGGCTCAGGAGGCTGAGGCAGGACAATTGTGAGTTCAAAGCTAGCCTCAGCAATTTAGTGAGGCCCTAAGCAACTCAGTTAGACCCTGTCTCCAATTAAAATACAAAAAAAAAAAAAAGTTTGGGGATGTGGCTCAGTGGTTAAGTGCCCCTGGGCTCAATCCCAGGTACCAAACAAACAAACAAATGAAAAACCAGGACAGTAAGAGTTTA